CTTTGTGCCTTCAGGCTTAATTCATTCTGTCTCCTGCAGTAATATTCACCGAGGGAAGTGGAAACTATAGTTTTTTCTTCTTCTCCTCTTATAATATCTTCTGATTCACTTCGTTGCGGGAACCAAGACAGTTACTCATGTCCCTGGGACGCGCCGGACTTCAATGTTCCGGTGTTTTCATGGTTGTATCTACTGTAGATCCTGGCTTACAGGAGTTGCAGCGGTTTTGGGAGGTTGTGGCGGGCTTGTCCCATTAAAAAAAATATCACTACATAGTATAAAACAAAGTCGCTATCCGCCGTCTGTCTGTCCTTATGTATGCTTAGATCTTTAAAACTATGCAACGGATTTTGATGCGGTTTTTTTATAGATAGAGTGATTCTTAAGGAAGGTTTATATTTATGATACATGCATAATATTGCAACCGTGCGAAGCTGGGGCGGGTCGCTAGTTATATTATAATAATATATTGACATTGGTTTCTATAATAACTATCGGGAGACATACTAAATTAACTAAAAACCGCGGGTTACTCACGTGAATGTACTGAGAAAAGCTCTACTAGTTTCGAACCACAGAGGGGTTCTTCCTCATGTGTCGTGCGCTTTGATTTTAGTTAAATGATGAGGATATATTTTTTAATGCGTTCAGTTAGTTTTTCTTTTTAACTTAACGCAGCAATCATCAGCAAATTGACTAATTTCCAACTAGTCAAAATCAATTCTTTTGTCGAACTGTCAAAAACGACAGTTTTCTATGAATTTTGTACGAGATTGTGTATTGTGACGTCACGTTTTTTTAGCCTCAAATAGCTTAAATATTTCTAAAAAATTTGCTGTTAACATACTAAAATTAAGTTGGTCATAAAATCAATTAATGAAAGTGTGATTGTTTTTTAATATTTTATTGTATTGAACAGTCGAAATAATTTATTTTTGGTTAAGGAAAGTACCCAATTGTGTCTAACCATGTTTTTTATATTTTCCAGTTATAAGTGCTGTGAAGGAGCCAAGTCCGGGCTGGTTGGACATGTCCAATGTTTACGGAGCTAGCGGTGTAAGTATATCATCACACTAGAACAACTTTTTTTTGAGGGGAAATGTCATCCAATGACTTCTGCCGCCTTGGGTTAAGCGAGAGGTAGTGTCAGACTCTTACTGACTAAAAACCACCCCGTTCCTACTCCTATAAGTTCTCCGCGGCTCCGCATCAGTCTTATTGGGCCCCACATGTGGTATGATGGCTCTTTGATGCGCGCGCGGACCGCTCGGCGCCGTCCGCTCGGGTCTGTACCTGGTCGGAGGGTCCCCCACGCAGTACGTCGTCCGGCCGCTGCCGGTGGCCGGAGATCGTCCCGCGATCCCCGACGCCCGGTGTGTCCTTCGCGATGGCTGGGGCTCACAACTCCTCCCACACTTCGCTACGCCGTACGCTCGGGTACACTAAAACAACTTATGCCTAAGAATTATGGGCAACTGAATCCTACTCGCATTTTTTTTAATCGTTGCCCTACATTAGCATTGTCCCCTGTCGTGTGTGCATTTACAAACACAATAATTTGTGGATCACACAAAGAGTTGCTCCGTGCGGGAATCGAACCTACGGCACATTGCGCGGCGACCGGTTGTCCAGATACCGCGCCAACCGTGCCGTCGTTCTGCTCTCTCGTCTTATTTTACATGGGAGAGCCATGCTTCGGCACTGTTGTGTCGACTCGACTGGCGTGATACCACGGCCTCACAGTGCTCCGGCGTGACACTGCCACAGCGTTGTGTACAGCTGTGTGAGTGGGGGCAGTGGAGGTGTAACCGCTGCGCCCTTAAAATGCTTGCTTTTTATGGCATAAGCCGCTAAACGAGCAGACGGATCACCTGATGGTAAGCAATCGGCGTCGCACATAGACAGCTGGAATACCAAGGCGTTACAAGTGCGTTACCGGCCTTAGGTTACTGGGATTAGGAATTTGAGGATTGTTGGGGATTCAGGGATTGTGGCTGGGGGGGAGAGGTAATTGGGCCTCCATGGATTGGGGAGGTTGGGAAAAATATCGAAACTTTTTTAAGCGGGGAAAATCATTGAATGGCTTCTCCCGCCTAGGGTGAGGCGGGAGGGAGTGTCAAGACTCTTACTGACTAAAAACCACCCCGTTCCTTCTCCTGCACGTCGAGCCGGAGCCCCGGCAACCCGTTAGGTTCTCCGCGTCTCCTAAACTAAGAAATGAAATCATACCATCTTTCCAGATTATATTAGGTCCAGGTATAGGCCTAATGCACTCGTTCATGGCTCGAGATGACATCCACATCGGCTTGGTCCCAGTAGACTACGTCAACAACGCCATCCTGGCCGCCGCCTGGGAGACTGCCAGGCGGGTGGCTGCAGGACACACGACGCCCAAGATATACTCCGTCACTGCTTCCACGAGGAATCCTACAGAATGGGGTAAGTTCTTTTCTGAAATACGAGCTAACGGATCACCTGATGGTAAGCAATTGACGCCCTTCTCATGAGGCCGTCCATACATTACGTCACACGTTGCGGTCGAGGGAGGGGGGCGACGAATTGTGACTAGGGGGTGGGAAGGAGCCTAAACTTCGTGACGTCACATTTCTATAACTAATTATTATAATCTATGTTAAAGCACAGAATTTAAACTATTTTACTTTTAACATTGTCTGTATCTAGACTATCAGGGCCCAATCCCCAAGCGTACAGATAATTTCAGTCCGTCCAATTTAAGTCTGAAAAGAATAATGACTGCACGGTTGGCGCGGTAGCTGGGCAACTGGATGCCACGCAACGTGTCGCGGGTTCGATTCTCGCACGGAATAACTCTGTGTGATTAACTGATTGTTGTTCTGTGTCTGGGTGTAATGTGTATGTGAACTTGTATGTTTGTAAACGCACACACGACACAGGAGAAAATCCTAGTGTGGGGCAATTTTTTTTTAAATCAACAAGAGAAAATACTAAAAAAAAATTTTTTTTAAAAGAAATAATAACATATATAAGATAAAAAGTAAGAGTACAGAAAACTATATAGGATACTTCGTATCCCGATATCCTATAGGATCGGGACGTAGGTACTAGAGGGAGCGAGCAAGAGATAGCAAAAAGTAACTTTACTTTTATTTTTCAGGCTACTTAGTACATGTGATGACAAAAGAAATTAGGAAAGACTACTCTACGCCTGCAGCAGTAGGGTGGGGTTTCGTTTGGCAGACGCAATATCCATTGGTATTCCTTATCTATTCATGGATTTTACACCTGATACCTGGACATATAATTGATGGAATATGCGCATTACTTGGCAAGGAAAGAAGGTACAAATTTGAACGAATATTTTGTTTTTTTTTTATTGGAATTGGGATGATGACAGGGTATGATAAATAAAAATATAATTAGTCCGTAAGTTAGGTAATGAAAAAATATTAGACACGTATTTTTTTATTTTGTCCTATAATAAAACAATACTTAGATAAAACGAATCAAAGTTTAGGAGTGGGGGCTAAAACGTCATTTCTACGTATAAAATGTACATAGAAGTGACGTCGCGCGACATTTCAAATCACTATATCGTCGAAAGTATTCGTTTCTAAAATAAAAATACGTGTGTAATGTTTTAAAATAATCTACCAGACGGACATTAAAATAAAAATTAGGCATCTACCTTATTAAGTTGACGTTGGTCCACTATCTCGCCTGATGGTGCACGGCTACATAAGCCTATTTACTCAGGCCTTGAAGACTTCCTTCAGGAAACACAGACTTCATGGGCTACTGTGCAGATTTGAATAAAATTGGACAAAATTATAGATTTATAGTTCGAAATAAGACATAGTTATATTAGCATTATCATACATATAGCCACGTTGTACAGCGGGATAGTAGCTTTACGCTAAAATCCTACTGTACAGGACTACCTAATCCTAATGACTACAAGCTAACGTTATCCTACACTATCCTAGCTAATCTTACCCTTATAATATCCTATCCTATCTTTGCCTAGCGTATAATGCGTATAGGCTTGTTGCTCTGTGGTATACTGGGATACAGACCAGCTCTTCTACGCACCTACTACTAGGCCCTTAACCTAAGGCACGTACTATCGTGGTACTGTTGTGATACTGTCCACTGCCCCCACAGTCCTCCCCCAATGACTACACATCGCGAGGTGGGAAGCGACCTGCATACAGCGACAGTCGCAGACCTTCATCACGTCGTCTGTCTACCTTGCAGTTGGATTTCAGATTCAGTCTTATTAATAACTAGCTTTTACCCGCGGCTTCGCTCGCGTTACCAAAGGATAAAAAGTAGCCTATATGACATATACCAATACACACAGCGCCATCTATACCAATAATTTCGTTTTCCCTCGAGAATATCAATTTTTTCCGGAATAAAAAGTACCCTATTATTTAATCCAGACTTCTAACTTTACATCTGCAAAAATCTATCTACAGCAATCGTTTTAGTAGTTGCGGCGTGAAAGCGGAACAAACAAACAAACTTATTTTCCGATTTTATAATATTAGTAAGGATTTCAAATAGGAATCGATAACCGAAACCTTCATGCTTGAAGCACTTCTTCGAAGACAGGAAGTTTTAAAAATCTGTTAATTGTAGACGATTTATTTATCATCATCATCAACAGCCTATAAGTGCCCACTGCTGACCAAAGGCCTCTCACACGAGAAGGTTTGAGCATTAATCACCACGCTTGCTTAATGCCGGTTAGCGATTTCAAACTTATAATTGGAAATTATAAGTCCAGGTTTCCTCACGATGTTTCCCTTCACCGTTTGTCAGTGGTGTCTAAATAATCTTAGAAAGTACATATAACTCGGATAAAGTCACATTGGTATATTCCGTTGGTAGGGTTCGAATTCTCATGCATGAGAAGCGGGCGTCATATACCTCCGGACCACGACGACTATTTATTAAGAATAAGAATAAGAACGTTTATTTGCACGAAGTATGGTAATTACAGGTAGTAATAATTATAAAAAATAGTCCCACATACATCGCCTACTGTTTTCGGCATGCAAAGTTAAGTTTTACAATATAATAAAGTTAAAATCTTACATTCAATAAAACCAATTACAAAAATGCTTACAACTGAGATAACATAATTATTCCTCCTAACATATTATTATTACTTTTCTTTATTCAAATATTTATCATTTTAGTGACTTACTAAATAACAACACACTTAGTATTGCACACATTAAACTTTCAGTGTAAGAAACTCATCTAAGGTGTAAAAGCAACTGTTGATTAGTAGTTTATTTAATGTAATCTTAAATTTATTTAAAGGTCTCTTAAATCTTTAGGTATTTGATTAAATATTTTGATTGATAATTAATGACTGCTTTTTCTTTTTTTTCAGGTTCGTGAAAATATATAAAAAGATGTACAACATGTGTTCAGCGCTATCCTATTTTACCACAAACCAGTGGAGATTCGTAGATGACAACACTGCTTCGTTATATAACAGTCTATCGCCCATAGACAAAGAAATTTTTGACTTTGACATTTGTAAAATAAATTGGCGGGAATACATGTACATTTGGTCTATAGGGTTACGAAAATTTATAATCAAAGATGGTTTGAAAGGCACAGTTTATGCTAGAAAAAAACAGATTGTTTTTAAAATATTAACTTTTATAATTATGCCTCTGTATCTATTCGCTTTGTATAAAGTTTTTAGCTTTTTCGTTGTAAATTTGTTTTACTTTTTAGGTTATGTTTTGCATGCATTAGGTTTGTAAGTTAATATTTGTAAATTATAAGTAATAAATTAATTTTAATGGTATTTTGTTTTTACTTGCAACATAAC